TTGATTCCAGCTTGTGCTTCATCCAGCCCAGAATTTCACATGATGTACTCTGCATATAAGTTAAATAAGCAGGGTGATGATATACTACCTTGATGTACTCCTTTTCCTATTTGGAACCAGTCTGTTGTTCCATGTCTGGTTTTAACTGCTGCTTCTTGACCTGCATACAGATTTCTCAAGAGTCAGGTAAAGTGATCTGGTACTCCCATCTCTTGAAGAATTTTCCATGGTTTGTTGTGATCCACAGAGTGAAAGGCTTTGGCATTGTCAATAAAGCAGAAATAGATATTTTTCTGGAACTCTCTTGCTTTTTCGATGATCCAATGGATGTTGGCAATTTGATCTCTGGTTCCTCTGCCTTTTCAAAATCCAGCTTGAACATCTGGAAGTTCATGGTTCACATACTGCTGAAGCCTGGCTTGGAGAATTTTGAGCATTACTTTACTAACATGTGAGATGAGTGCAATAGTGCAGTAGTTTGAACATTCTTTGGCATTGCCTTTCTTTGGGATTAGAATGAAAACTGATCGTTTCCAGTCCTGGGACCACTGCTGAGTTTTCCAGCAGTTTCCATAATGAGTTTTCATTATGCCATTTGCTGGCATAATGAGTGTAATACTTTCACAGCATCATCTTTTAGGATTTGAAAAAGCTCAGCTGGAATTCCATCACCTCCACTACCTTTGTTCGTAGTGATGCTTCCCAAGGCCCACTTGACTTCGCATTCCAGGACGTCTGGCTCTAGGTGAGTGATCAGACTGATAGACAGATTTACATGTGTGTCACCTGATCCTGGCATTCAGGTTCATTCTGTGTCATTAATTTCAGGCAGCAAAACAAAGCACTGGTTATCTCTCTAAATCCGACTGCAGACAGCCATGCTTAGCAAGGAGGAAGAAAGCAAGTAGTTATTGAGACCAGAGTTTGCAGATGTCAACCACCCAGTGATAAAACTGATCTGAGCCTGTCCTGTAGGGAAAATAATGGAAAGTTGGTCTTCTCGTGGCATCTTTCATGCCAGAAAGAGGCAGGCAGGATATGACATCTCATGAAGATAGATTTTTTTTTTGTCCCCAGATGGATACTTTACCAATATCTTCAGTGTGGGCATGTACTGACATCTAGTGGATGACCAGGTGGCTGATGTTTTGGCCACAAATGATAAGGTAGGAATCAGTAAACTACATAGTAATAGTACCTGAAAAAAACTTCATTCAAATAAAATCTAAAGTAGAAATATAGATTTTCTTTTCTCTTATGGTTGAAGCCAATTAATTAAATTCATATTTAAATTAATATTACATTGAAGACTTTTTCCTGTTAACAGTACCACCCCTCTGGTCTTGTGAAACACTGGTGCATGGTTGGATGCCTACCAGAATTAATAAGTTTACAGGTAGGTAAAGACAGGTAACAGAACACCAGAGATACCCAAATAAGGCAGGAAATGCTGTCCATTTTGGTTTCAGAAAATAAATATTTTATCTAACCATCAAACACAAGTTGAATTGTTAGGTTCTAGCCACCTATCAGTAAGGAATTTGAGAATTTTAGAAGTTGGATCAAAAAACTGCAAAGCTGAATATGATTATACCAGATGCTACTCTGGAATGGGGAAGAGGGCATTTCAAGTCTAAAGAAGAAAGTCTGTGTGTCTAGTGTTCCTAGAATCACTGATCAAGAGCCTGTAAAATAAATCTTATGTATCTAGTTCACTGAATGATACATTGAAGGAAGTAATTAGTGTTAAGATGTGAGGAGAAAAATAGACTCTTGGATTGTGAAACAACTGGGAAATGGACTCATGGAGTAAATCAGACAAAGATTTAAGAATGCAAATCCTACTCTGGGTAAAACAGATTGAAGAATGCTGTTCAAATTGAGCCCGACAGAGATTTTTCTAATAATACCTTTGACTCTTGGGATTAAATTTATGCTGATAAGATTATAGTGCTTCTGTCCAGTTTCTGTCTTGTTTCTACTTTTTCCAGAACACTATGTGTTACCATCTCTTTTATCTATTCTTCCCTAACATACAATGATAAGAAAAGCATTATCCAAAATTTGGAAATAAGGTAAAGAGTATGACTTTTCAATGGGGTGTCTTTTCAATGTCATGCTAGAATTTTGTTTAATAGGGCAACACAAAGGACTTTGTAATTTTCTAAGAGAGTGCACCTGTATTTGACTTATAGCTTACTATTTGAACAGAGCTCAACCACTGTGAAGTTACATGCTAATTTGTAGAGTTCTGTATGAAGAATCTGAATACACAAATGGGCAGTAGCCAGACCATGTATAAAAACAGAATTCTGAGACAGAACTTGAAGGAATTCTCTCTAACAACCAGCCCTGGAAGCCAGATGGCTGTAGGTTAGACCTGTAAGACATCAGATCTCCATCTCCAGTAACAACTTAGGAGGCCAAACAATAAGCTCCATAACAATCAGTCCAAAATGGCTAAGACTGGATCAATAACTGACAGATTTCTAATTTGTATGCATGCTTCCAATTGAAAAGCAACCAGAAAGTCAAATATCAGTTCAGTTCAGTTCAGTTCACTCACTCAGTTGTGTCCAACTCTTTGCAACCCCATGGCCTACAGCATACCAGGCTTCCCAGTCCATCACCAACTCCTGGAACCTACTGAAACTCATGTCCATTGAGTCAGTGATGCCATCCAACCATCTCATCCTCTGTCATCCCCTTCTCCTCCTGCCTTCAATCCTTCCCAGCATCAGGGTCTTTTCCAATTAGTNTCATCCAGCCCAGAATTTCACATGATGTACTCTGCATATAAGTTAAATAAGCAGGGTGACAATATACAACCTTCACGTACTCCTTTCCCTATTTGGAACTAGTCTGTTGTTACATGTACAGTTCTAACTGCTGCTTCTTGACCTGCAAACAGATTTCTCAGGAGGCAGGTCAGGTGGTCTGGTATACCCACTTCTTGAAGAATTTTCCACAGTTTGTTGTGATCCACAGAGTGAAAGGCTTTGGCAGAGTCAATAAAGCAGAAATAGATGTTTTTCTGGAACTGACTTGCTTTTTCAATGATCCAGTGGATGTTGGCAATTTGATGTCTGGTTCCTCTGCCTTTTCTAAATCCAGGTTGAACATCTGGAAGTTCTCGGTTCACGTACTGTTGAAGCCTGGCTTAGAGAATTTTGAGTATCACTTAGCTAGTGTGTGAGATAAATGCAATTGTCAAATATACACCCCACCAATGAGACAGGATGCCCTGCTTCTGTTTAGCCCACCTAGGCTGCTCTATGCCAACAGCCTCTGTCAGGGCACACCCAAAGCTCCCCCTCATTTCCACTATAAAGGCTTCTTCCTCTAAGGCCTACCATTGAGTTTCTTCCAGAATGTGAGTGACATGACTGACTCCCTTGCTATACCAAGATCTGAATAATAACCTTTGTCTGTGTAGTTGATCTTCATTTACTTCCACAATCCAGTAGAAAAGAAAGCCTCCAAGGTTAATGTTTCCTCATTCTGTAGAGAATTAACCAGCTTTGTATGTAGCCTAGCAACTTTCTTTTAGCAATCTTTTTCTGAATGCCCAGAAATAACTGTCCCTTATATGCTCTTGGAACCAGTTTTACCATCTCACTTGTTCCCTCATTAATGTGTTGATTAAACTGGTGACATGTGTTCACTCTATATTTGTAAGGAATGATGTTTTTAAATTTTTAAAAATTACACATTGACAACAGAAAAGAAACAAAATGCCTATAAACATCTAAGGAGAAATTCAAATACATATTATATTAAAAGTTATATTAAAAGAAGAAATAGCATACTTATTACGTCTATAGAATATCTTCAATTTATTTTAACATTGTGAAATAGCTGTCTGAGCTATTTGTTGAAGAGATTAACCAAAGTTACTCAGCTCATGGACAACCTGGAATTACTTGGCTCTGAGTGACATTAGTCAGTTTTTGCTGTGTAACAACCCCCCCACACCCCGCCAAATCCTCCTTTCAGCAACATTTATTTTTCATACTCAAAGCTGTGCAGTCAGCGAGAATGGCTCTGCCTCAACATGAGCGGGTTCAGATCTGCTCTACCTTTGAACCAGAGGCTATCTGAGACAAATTCTTCCCACAGTGATGACAAAAGAACAAGAGAATAAGCTCTTCCAGGCCAGCCACCTCATCTCCTGTCATCCTAGTCACCCAGCAGAGCCCCCGTTCAGGGTGAGGGCAGGACACACACTCCTCCCGCAGCAGGAGGCTCTGCAGTGTCAGGTCAAAGGTCACAGACGCATGCACCCACAGAGAGGCAGTGACCGCACTGAAGCTCCAGCAGACGCAAAGCCATGGAGGAGGGGAGGACCCCACTGACCAGCCTTCAGAGGGGCTACACAGAGCCACAGACCAGACCCGGAGGACGGCCGGTGGGGACAGCACTCACCCCCAAGGGACGTGCCCCGCGCTGGTGTGGCCACAGCTCTTGGAGACCTCAGAGCGCTTCTGCAGCGTGAAGCTCACAGTTTCAGAAGCAACCTACAGGGAAGCACGAATCGAGCTTTAAAATGCCCGTGTCAGCTCTATGAGGAGAAGCTCAGGAATAACCTGGTGGTCGCCCTAGCGTACTTAAGTTCCCAGAGGCACTGACGGGGCTAGAAGTGAACCATGCAGAGCCTGAGGCCTTGGGAACAGAAGACAGAGACACTCTGAACACTTGAAACAAATACACTGCATAAAATTTCTTAAAATCTTATCACAGTGTAATTCTCAGTAATGTTCATGAAACTGATGAAATGAAAAGCTAAAGTCTAACATCAGTGATATGCCTATTTGTATACATCCCAAGCTGGCCACTAATTGTTCTCTCTTAAAGTATCAACAGCTCACTGATTGTGACAGATGGTTTATTAGGTGTAAGCTTTGTTTTTATCTGAATAAATTTGATGAAATGTTGAAACTGTTCTTACGTAATTGATAAAGTCTATATTTCAACTATCAAATAAGCTATGATCACTACCTTTTCCCATGCAGCTTATCAATGTCCAATTATAGGACCACAGGCTTAAAAAAAAAAAAATTAGATGCCTGACAGAAAAATGCTTCACTGTGCTACCCAAGTTGATTTTTCACTCGATACTGTGTCTGTGAGATTTTCTCTCATACATGTCGTTTTTGTTTACTATTTTCAGTGCTATATTGCATTTCATTGTCTGTATATCCTGTTTTCAAATGCATTCCTGTACTAATAGTTATTTAAAGTTATTACTTCAGTTTGGCATCCCAAAATCTTCTTTTCCTTATCTCATCATTTACCCTTCCACGTACCCTCGCGTCACTCCCCAGCAGACGCACACCATGGTTGGAGTTTAGCACTGAAGTTCTCAGTCTGTGACGAAGGCCTGCTGGGGGGTGTGCTTCCTCTCCTCTACTCCACTCGTGGTTGGGGCCACGGTGACTCAGGTAAGAGAAACACCCAAGATGCTGCGCGCTGCGCCAGGCTTGGAGGGTCCTAACTAGCTTGCTCACGCATCTGCAGTTGGTCACTGGGAGGTGGACTGGTCCAGGAAGGTTTCACATTTCTAGAGGCAGGGTGGTTACTGGCCTGTTGACTGGGGCAAAGAGCAGCTGCGCAGAAGTCTCTTATCTTCCCGCAGGCAGGATACCAAGATGGAACTAGATGCTCCTAAGGCCTGTTAAGTATCAGCGTAAGCTAGACATCACTTCTTCCACATTTTATCGGCCAGTCAGCTCCTATTCAAGGGCAATACTTCAGTTATCTATATTTCTATATAACAAATCACTTCAAAACTAACTAGTTTAAACACAATTCATTATTTTACTCACCAATCTGTCATTTGGCCAGAGCCCGGTGGGGACAATTCATCTCTGCTCCACTAGATGTCAGCTGGACTAAGGCTGAAGGATCCACTTCCAAGATGGCCCCATCCCATGACTGGCAAATTCCTCTCCAGGTGAGACTCTCAGCGGGCAGGTTACACTTCTTGCATCAGGGGAGATGGATCCTAAGAGACCGGAAATGGAAAGCTGCTAGTTTCTTAAGGTGTGGCCCAGAAACTGGTACGGCATCACTTCTGCCAACTGCTTTTGTCACGTCCTTATTCAGGAGAAGGGAGACTTGAGGCTGTATCTTAAAACTGCCATAAGTGGACTCTAGGCCCCAACTTTATGAGAGAAGTAACAATGCCAGCTTGTAAAGGGCATGGACACTAGAAGAGGAAAAGAGTCACAGACATTTTCGCAATGTGAGCGTGAAGCGGGAGAGATTTCTGGTTCAATAATCTCCTTTTACAAAGCTACTATTTACTCATCTCAGCTTTATATTAACTATAACTTGTCAAGAGGCAAATGTAGAAATCCTACTCATTATTTAAGTGGCTTAGAGGATTTTATATAGAAAGGATTTAAAGTGCCTTCTTTTTATTTCAAAGTAAATGTTAGCACTTTAACTCCCCTTGAAAGATGTGAAACCATGTTTTACTGATGGTATAACTATTATGCAACAAGAGTGAGGGTAATCATCTTATTCCACTCTACCGGACGAACATAGCCATTTTTGCACAGAAAAGACAGTGAAATGCTCAATTACAGCTGTGTGGTCAGTGTAAAATCTCTCGTTTACATGAACCGCAGAGTCATTAATTAGACATGGGCAGGGAACTTTGTAATCTGTGACCACCTTGGATTTTCTTTAGACTGTATGAGTCACAACCGAAATGACCTAGAGGCCAGCCAAATAGAATCAGTCACTGACTCTCCATTCTCGTTTACACTCTTCACATGTGACTCCATGGGACAGAACCTCTCCTCCAGGGAGGAAATTCTGAACTTCATGCCTCAATTGCATTCCCAAATCCCTACTTTCCTTTCCTAGGCAGCAACTTAATTCCAGTAAGATCTGACCTCCCGGAAGTCCTAAAAATAAAGTACCTACAATGTCCACCTAGTATGGTTTGGTAAGCTTTGTCCAAAAGTTCCACACCAATTCCACCTCCTGGGGAGCACTGAGGTGGTGATAGCTCCATTCACTGAGACAATCTGAGTCCGTCTGTGTACTATGGCTTTTCAGCTGCTTTCAGTTAAGGACTGTGTTTGGCAACAAACAATGGAAAACTCTACATACAGTAGCTTTTGAAAAACTGAGTGGTTCTTGTTTCCCTTCTGTGTTAATATTGACTTATTTATTCATTTATTGAAGCATAATTGATTTACAGTGTTGTACCAGTTTCAGGTATACAGCAAGGTGATTATTATATAATAATATATATTCTTTTCCAGATTCTTTTCCATTATACGTTATCATAAGATACTGAGTAGAGTTCTCTGTGCTATATAGTAGTACTTATTGTGTATATATTTTTATATGACAGGTTTCAGGAATCATTTCTATGGTTTGCTTTTGTTTCTCTAAATGCACCAAGAAGTATAAAATTCTGGCAACCTCATGATGCAACCAGGTACTTATGCGCTGTTTGGATTTTCTTATTTTGTGGTTTTCATCCTCATGTTTGCAACCACAATGTTACCAATCAACTTTTTTAAATTTTGGATTGAAGTTGCTACGATGATCTTCCTAGGGGAAGTGTTTGAGGTTGTAGACAACAGACAGGAACCACAGCCAAGAAACATCAAGAGCCCAGAGCCTTTATTCACCTAGGTTAAGGCAATTCTTAAAACACTCTTAAAATATATGGACCTGTGGTTTTTTAAATTATCTTTTTAATAAATAGATTGGCAAGAATTTGGAACATGAGGAATTCCTGAACTGAATTTGGGAAAAACTACAAAAGTTGTATTTAGAGGGGACAGATAGTCTTGGATGCTTATAACAGAGGTAGAGACTGAAATTTATTGAGCTAATCACCAGTGCCAGAATTAAGAAAGGGACTGAATATCTGGAGGCATTTTCAAGACGGTGGAGAAGTAAGACATGGAAATCATCTTCCTTCCCACAAATACAACAGAATACATTTACACATGGAACAACTCCTGCAGAACATCTACTGAACGCTGCAAGAAGACCACAGACTTCAGAAAAGGGAAGCTGATCTCCACAAAATGGGGTAAGGCCAGAGAAAAAAGGAATGGGATGAGGCTTGCAATGTAGGGAAGGAGATGTGAAAGAGAAGTTTCCGCACACTGGGGAACTCCCTTACAGGCGGGGACGGGGCCCGCTGGAACCTCAGAGGGAGTGCAGCAGCAAGTGCATGGAAGACAAAGTGGAGAGAATTCACCGCAGAGATCAGGGCTGACCAGCACGCCCACCGCAGCGAGTAGGCGCTGGGGGCTGAGGCTCAGGCTTCAGAGGCAGACCTCAGGAGAGGGCTGGGGTAGACTGCTGGGAAGATACTCTGGAGGGGCTAGTACAACACAGCTGAGGGAGACCAGAGAACAGCCTGGGCCAGCCAGAGAGCCAAGAGATCTTTGTTGCAGGGCCCTCTAGCTCCCTTCGCTCGCAATCTGCAGAACACCACCTTCACAAGGGCCAGCGGCAGGGTGGGGTGTGGCAGTGGTTTGCGACCCCAGAGGCAGCCAAGCCTGCCGGCCACCAACCACCACAAAAATCCAGGGGAGAGCAAGAGGTGGGGGACTGCAACCTGGAACTCCAAAGACGAGCAGGCTGGCTGGCTGGCTGGCTGCTGCCTAGGCATACCCAAGAACCAGAGGCAGGAGGTAAGACGCTGCTGCAGCCCCTGACCTCAGAGCGGGGCACGACGGGCCTCTACCGCTGCAGGCACTCCCCGCATGTCCCAGCTGCATCTGCACTACCCCTCACTGCCCCCAGACCAGCTGAGCAAGTGAGCCCCGATAAGCCGCTGCTTTGGCCCCTCTCATCTGGGCAGGGAGCACAGACCAGTGGGAGGCCCCCCAACAGAGACTGGACCAAAACCAAAACTGAGCACCCGGGGCTGTGTGCCCAAGCAACAGGAAGGCTATTTGCTTGCAGTCACAGGATCAGCAGATTACATGCCCACAATCAGCTTGCGACTGTGGGCTCCGGGGGCAACTACAGCTGGAGCAAGACCAGTCTGACCTGACCACACAGTGCCCACAGCAGTTCCAGAGACCCACACAGAAATCCTGAGGGAATTCCCGAGGAGGAAGACGGGCTGGGGCTCACTGTGTGGCAAGGACACTGACAGCGGAGGCCATGGGAGCCACTCTTATTACCACCCTCTCTATGCAGGTTTTCATCTTGCTTCTTTTCCATATTCTTCTATTATTATTTGCTTTTATTATTGCTTTTCAATTTTTTACTTACATTTCCCTTTTTTAATGCTTTTACTTTTATGTAAACTTATTTTATTTTACTGTTTTCCTATTGCTAAAGTACTTTTTTCTTATATTGCACTTTTTCCATGCTTTTGGTTTCCTATTTTTTGCGAGTATAGTTTTAACAGTGTTTGTTTTTATTTAAGGGTTAATTTATTGCTTTGATTGCTCTCTTCTCTTTTGGTTCCTGTTTTTATTATTTATCTTCTGTATTTCCTTCTCATCTTTTCTTTTTGGGAGTGCATGAAGTTCTTTGTGAGTTCTTGTCTATTTAATGCTGCTTTTACCATTTGTCTTGGGGTTTTGTCTTTCTGGGTTTTTTTTTTTTTTCTTTTCTCCCCTCCCCTTATTTTCTCTCTCTTTCTTTCTCTTCTATGCTGTGCAGCTTGCAGAGTCTTGGTGCTCTACCAAGGGACTGGCCCTGAGTCTCAGAGGTGGGAGACCCAAATCCAGGTTCACTGGACCAGCAGAGGACTCCCAACCTCATGGACTATTAGGCGAGAACAGCTCTCGCAAAGGCCTCCGTCTCAGCACTAAGACCTGGCCCCACTCAAAGGGCAGCAAGCCCCAGGGCAGGGTGCCTCCCACTAAGCAATGAGCAAATCAGGAGCACAGTCCCACCTAGCAGACAGGCTGCCCAGAGCCATGCCAAGTCCAGAGACACCCCAAAAGACACCGCTGGACATGGCACTGACCTTCAGAGAAATAGGATCCAGTTCCCACCAAGAGAACACAGGCACCAGTTAGCCTCACTAACAAACTTCCACAAGGCACTGGTCCAAACCCCCACCCCAATCTGGGGGCAGAATCCCCAAATAAGAGGAACCATGACCCTCAGGCTGCAGAAAGGAGAACCCAAACAACAGTAAATTAAACAAAGTGAAGAGTCAGAGAACACGCAGCAGATGAAGGAGCATGGCAAAAACCCACGAGACCAAACAAATGAAGAGGAAATGGGCAGTCTACCAGGACAACAATTCATAGTAATGACATTAAATATGATCCAAAATCTCAGAAATAAAATGGAGGCACAGATGAAGTGAATGAAGGCACAGATCGAGAAAATACAAGAAATGTTTAAGAAGGACCTAGAAAAACTAAAGAACAGACAACCAGCAATGAACAACACAATAACTGAAATAAAAAATACACTAGAGGGACCCAATGGAATAACTGAGGCAGAAAAATGGATAAGTGAGCCGGAAGATAGAATGGTGGAAACAACTAAAGCAAAGCAGAATAAACAAAACAATGAAAGGAAATGAAAAGAGTCTTAGAGACCTTTGAAACAACATTAAGCACACCAACATTCGAATTATAAGAGTCCCAGAAGAAGAGAAAAAGAAAGGATCTGAGAAAATATCTGAGGAGATTTAGTTAAAATGGGGCTTCCCTGGTGGCTCAGATGGTAAAGAATCTACCTACAATGCAGGACACCTGGGTTTGATCCCTGGCTCTGGAAGAGCCCCTGGAGAAAAAAATGGCAACCCACTCTGTACTACTGCCTGAAGAATTCCACGGTCAGGGGAGCCCGGCAGGCTACAGTCCATGGGGTCAATAACAGTCGGACACAACTGAGTATCCAGCACACACACAGAGTCAAAAACTTCCCTAACATAGGAAAAGAAATAGCCGCCCTAGTCCAGGAAGCCCAGAGTCTCATGCAGGATTAATGCAAACAAAAACACACTAAGACACGTAGTAATGGAACCAGCAAAAATTAAACAAAGAA